TTCCTTCCTGGCTCCCTCCATACCTCTCCCTAAAGCACTGGAGGGGGAAGCTCTCCCTGGAGATTCCTATCAGAAACAGTAACAGAGATGGTTCCAGTAATATCAGGAAGACATAGATGATGGTTATAGATTTCAGGGCTCTCAGGTGCATTAGGCTGTATTACAGCTTCCCCGCAAGGCTACTTAATGCTCCCCTGCAATGGAAACAGGCTGGCAGACGCCAGGCATGTATGAACAGCCACATGAACATATACAGTAATCTAAGATTGCTTACAGACACATGCACACATTTAAGTCACCTATACTCTGCAGGGCTGCAGCTGATGAATATAAATAATCTTCAGGGGTGCAAGGTTTTGGCATTGAGACAGCCTATTATTTCCACCTTTGTGAACGGTGATGCCAGATCTGTGGCAAGGGTAATGTGATCCCAGCCCTAGGGCTATATCATCTACCTCAGAGTGTAACAATGCCCATGACGGAGAAGCTGGGAGAAAAACACCCGCTTTCCTCACCGAGGTGTTGTCGTTGAACCGTGGAGGATTCCTAAATTAAGAAAATAAACGGAGAGGAACTGAGAGAAGATGGTTATCAGGCACCATCAGATACCTATGTGTCTGTTCTCTAGGGGCAGGAGCTGCTCTGAGCACATAAAGCGCTTTTTTGGAGCATTGACTGGGCTTCTAAAGTAGGGGATCTATTTATACTGGCCTAGTGCTGTCTGTGGAGCTGTCCAGTGCTGAAATGGATGGGGATTCATGCTGTTTCATTTCAGCCACTTCTCCTTTTCTTCCTCCTCTGCGTTATCCTTCTCCAGTTTCTTCCTTTCTCCCATCTGAATTACTTCTGTCAGATCATACTTAGATTTCTTCTGTTTCACTCGCCTTTCGTCCTTCTTTCCCTTCTCTCTCCCTCCCTTTCTTCCTTCTTATTTTCTTACTTTGATTCTCCTGTGGGCTCTTGTCAATTCAGAGTGATTCACATGCCATTCTTATCCTTTTCTTTTCCACTCCCATGCTCTCACTTTCCTCTCCTCCATTGTATACATATTGCAGAAAGCGGTCAGCACATTTTTGTAGCTCTCTCCAATTATGCTTTTGTTTAAAAGGTATCCACTGGGACTGGCTTGCATGCATGAATGAACACACACTCAAGACTTGAGGACAATAATACATGCTGATAAGAGTGGGAATGAGGTTTATTCATCTCCCCTGCCAATCCACAGGTCAGAAAATCTCCTTAAAGCTACATGCTGTTCACATGGCTCTGTGCTGTCCCTTAACACGTGTTTTGGTTTCTTTGGGGCCAACACTGCCCCCCAGTCTCTAGTTACTCAGTGGGATGAGGCAACCAGAGAGGCAGGCAAGGACATCCTGTACACTGTGGGAAAAGAGGGAGGAAAGGAGCAAAGGTGGTGTTGGGACAGAGTGAAAAGGAGGCAACAAGCAGAGGGTATTTGGGGGGTTGGGAGGTCTGTCTGAGATGCAGGGTGGGCAGAGAGAGGTGGAAGAAGGGGAGAGGAAAATCAGAGGATATGAAGGAGGAATGGGGATGATGGCCAGGTTCTGTCATTAACCTAACACTAAAGCAGAGGGCAACTCCAGAGGACTCACCTCTGATTCACACAGTAGCACTGCAGGCAAGGACAAGCCTCCCAAGGGACGTGAAACACACACACACACACACGAGTCTGCATGCTGAGAACATAGTGATTCACAGGATTACCCACAGGCTCATGAGTACCCACATAAACACATAAACATATAAGCGTATACTGTAACACCCCCTCCTCATTTAGCAAAAACTACACACAAATTACACCGTGACTCACGAGAACATGTTGTCTCCTACACACATACCACACACAGAGAGCCACACAACACACACACACACATAGAGACACATCATTGAGCTAATTAATCAAATCTCTTGTTTTAATTAGGATTCAGATCAGTTGCTATGGGAACCTTGCCCCTTGGAATCTTAAGGTAAAGACTCCTGTTGCTGCCGCTGCCTCCAATAATTCTGCAGGAAGCTGACTGAAGGGGACAAATTCATAATTCCTACAATGATTCAGGTGGCTGCATTTTTACACAGACATATTTTTCTGGGAAGGCCTGAGGTGCCTGATCTCAACTTCCATTTGGGTTCAGTCATAGAGAGGGGCACAAAAGTGAGAAAAATTGAGAATTATGATGGCTCATGTTGCAGCAATATACATTACCATGAAAAGGCCATATATGTTGGCATTAAAGAGGAGGTTCATGGTTTGCAGAAGTCTGGCCAATCAATCACTAACACAGGCCTGATATTTTTCTCACAGAATGCTTTCACGTGGAAGGTTATGTAAAAGCACTTTCATACAGTTCTAATTGGCTGCTTATCCTTGCTATTACCATTGCCCAACAATTTCAAATGAGCAATGGCTCTGTGCTGGCTAGAGTACACCTGCTGCCAGAACTTTTGCTGTGAAAATATCATTCATTGTGTTTTCAGTAGGGCCTACTAGTGATCACTAGGATATGTTTGTGAGAATCACCTCAGTACTTTGACTTTCTATCTGACAGAGATGAATCAGTATGTTAACATTTCAGTTTTATTAATCAGGCTGCTGGATATTTTGCAGTGACTAATATCTGAGCTCTGTTTTAAGCAGTGTGGAGGTTTTAGTGTTAACACAGCTTCATCTCACATGCTGATAGAGGTACTTATCTCAAAAGATGTGGAGGAGAAAGATCAAACTGTACAGGAGCCATGCTGCATTCATCTGTCCTCAGTGTTTTGATATCAGTTCAGGTGAAGACTGGACTTAAATTAAAGGGGAAAAGGATGCCAAGTAAAGCCATTAGGATACCAGAACTCAGGCATGTGTCTGACTCGCCGGTTGTCATGGTTGCGGTGTTTATCACCTCTTTCTGCCGACAGAAGCCCAGGGGCAAATCAGATTGGCTTCAGACAGAGAGACACAGAGAGAGTTGGTGAGTGAGGGGGAGGACATATTGGCACAGCAGAGGGGTGAAATGCCAACACGCTACATAGGGGAGACTGAGGAAGACTGCTGGACAAATGTCAATGTGGCTTATTCATGATAACATCTTTGTTTTTTACCACTTGACTTGAGAGAGTGCATATTACTGTTATTAGCTTATTTCAGCAAATTACTTCAAATCTATCTTTTTTGTTTACTAATCACTGTTTCCTTTGCTTTTACTCAGTTTTTGTCTGTTCTAAGATAAACCACAAATTTCTGCACAATAAGAATATTTTCTGCTCTCCTGTCTTTACACCTGTCTTTACTTGGATGTCTCGGTGGATTACTTATAAATATGCTAAGAGCATTAATGAATTTACAAATGTTGAAAGTCCTTTAAATTCCAAGGAAAAGTAGAGATTAATAACCCCTTAATATGAGCCTATCTTGGACCATACTCAAAAATCAGGTCTAAGATTTGCCCAACATCCCTCGTGGCCTATGCCTGCCACCTAGCGGGCCCTACTCCAATCATCCTTGTTGGGAGCCTTGGGGGTACCACTTTCATGGTGGGTGATATGTGGCCCTTGCTGACACTCTGTTATAGTGACTAAGGAGATAAAAAAGAAATCGACCAATTATGACATTTACGGGTCAGGATAAGTGGTCTGTTGAACATTCTCAATCGAGAAGTCATAATCATAAACAGATGGCGAGCATCTGCTGATTACGTCCAGGTGGGTACTTCTGGGTTCCGCTGTCCCGTCCTTGCAGTTTATTACATTAAGGCACTCTTGACTGCACGGCGCACACGTGTTAATGCACAAACCACGCCTCTTTGTCGTTCTGGCCAATCGGACGTTGTCATACAGAAGGGCCGATCCTTCTCAGCCAATCACAGCACTCCTTGTTGGGGAGACACTCGTGCTCACATAAACCGATTTCCTACTGCTGTTAGCAGAGAGGAAGGTATGGAGACACTGTAGCTTCATTGGTTTCAAGAAACTTAAAGTTTGGCTGTGCCTCCTTAAGGAAACCTGTTAAAGCGTATTTTAAAGACTGTTTCTAAGTTTACATTACAGCCGTTCAGGAGCCCGTAGCACCCATTTAATGTTTGTTTTTCTCTTGTATGTGAAGCATACTGTTTATCATTTCTTAGCTGTTTTTTGTGGGTCATGGTGGTCAGTGTTGCTGTGCTTGTGCAGATGAAAGGTTCAGGTTTTGGTCGGGCTGGGTCGTATTTTAGCTGACATCCAGCTGAATAGGGCGAAATCACCAGACAGCCCTATGTGAATAACTGTATTGTAGGTCCTGGCTGGTGTGTGTGTGACAGCTCAGGTTCAAGCGTAGAGGCCTCTGCCACAGGGAGAGACGGTCTTGGTTAATCTATGTTGTTTTGGTCTCACGGGTTCCCGAGCTTTCATTTTTCCACACACGTCTGTCAGGCAGGGTTTTCATCATAGCTCTGTTCAGGCTGACGCGGTGTGTTGCCGTGCTGAGGAGTAAATTACCGGTGACGGCAAGCTGTCCTGTTGTTTATGTTCGCACCTTGCTGTCAGCCCGCAGTGCCAAAGTCTCATCATCTCTGCGGAGGATGCCGCAGCTTAACAAGTCCAGGAACGCCCCGGCGCCTGATTCATCAGGCTCGGTCCAAGCAGGAGCCGAAGCAGCCGCAACAGAGACTCCAGACTCCAGACTGTCCTGGGTGGAGAGCCAGACTGTGGGGGACGCAGGTGGAGAAGGACAGGACAATGTTGGAGACAGCGAGATCATCAAGTCCCCAAGTGACCCCAAACAGTACAGGTAAAGGACTCTGCTGCTGCACAGTAACATCCACACTCTTTGTTGCTGTTCTCCTGAGTGTTTAAACCATGCACTGTACTGCAATCCTGTTACATGATTTATCTCCTCTGTTGAGTCAATTCTCAATCATTGTTATTAATGTGATTTCCAGAGGTTACTATTTTCTGTTTTCCTGAAATAAAGTGCTAAGAAAATGACCCAGATCCACTAACCCAGATCCAAAAATGATACTGAGCCTCTCTTCCAGCCAGATCAGCGCCAGTATTGTTGTAGTGTGATGGGACAATTTCATGGTATAAGCACACACCAGTGCCCCAGGTCCCTGTGGGACATACACGGAAAATATCCTGTGAAAAGCCTAGAACAAGAGTCTCAAAGGGTATAAGATGCAATCTGCAAAGAGACATCTGATTTAAGACCTTTTTTTGTGATTCAGAATGTATTGTGTTTGATGGGCAGTCACTATAAAAGAGAATGCATATTGGCCAGGATACCGGTCTTTTCAGAATAAGACCCAAACAATGAAAGCTGTAAAACTTGATGATACAACGCTACATTTGTACTTTTTCACATTTAACTTTATTCCCTTCAGGTACATTGTATTGGACAACGGGCTGCAGGCTCTGCTCATTTCAGACTACAGCGGCCCAGCATCAGAAGGTGAAGATGAAGACGAGGAGGAAGATGAATCTGGAGATGAAACAGAAGAAGAATCCGAGGAAGATGATGCTGAGAAGTGCAGTGATAGTTACGAGGATGATGACAATGAAGGGACAAAGACAAAAGGAGATGCAGAGAAGCAGGTGCCACATGAAAGTTTTAATGTAGAGCTCTTTTGTTTGTTTGTTTTTTTTACAGAATTTATTCTGAAGAGGAAGAAAAAAACATGTCATGTTGAATCTAAAATTTGTGCTGAAATCACATACACAGTGAAACAAAAACATGACAGTTATTGAAGCAAAAAGGTGTCCATACAAACTTGAAACTGTTTATATTACATTGAAATACACACAACTGTAAACACATCTGCACCTAAAATTTCCCCAGGGCTTCAGCTGTATAAAGGATAATGCTGGTGATATTCAAAATTTTTCTTACTACCAAACTCTGTTGAAAGATCAGATCCAGTAATGTGAAAGTCTCAATGCTTTCTGGATTCACTACCCAGGATGCAGCCCCTGAGCTACATCCTCATTCGTTCATGTAATTAAGAATCATCATTGGACAACAGTGGAGCTCTTTGGCAGAGGAGGAAAAAATAATCAGGCTTTGGCTTGTTCTTTGGATCAGTTCATTGGTTGTTTGGGGTTTTATAGGGGGGGAGGGGGGGTCTGTTGACAATTAGAGAAACAAAGCATCTCCAGACTTATCCTTTAGGTGCATTGCCAGACTCCAAAATGACTTGACATTCTGTGTGTTTCAGTCTGCGGCAGCACTGTGTGTTGGAGTGGGAAGTTTCAGTGACCCCAGCGACCTGCCTGGCCTCGCCCACTTTCTGGAACACAGTATGTAATTGGCCCCAGAGATTCAGGCCTTTTTCACTGGAAGAAGTTTTTATCTTTTCTTTGATTGTATTGTTTATCCATCCCCAGATACTCTTAGGTTGTTTCCTATTACCAATCACAATTTGTTCCCGATGTAGTTTATTATTTTATTTATTTTGTGTGCTCTCTTAGCTTCCTTTGTCTATTTCTGCTGTAGTTGATAACATCTGACATTTCCCAGTGTGCCCTTCTCCTAGGGCTAGATTAACCCACAGTGGGGCCATAAGGCAAAATGAGAACCCTATGGACCCGGTGTGACCCACTTTTCTTCCTACTCTCTGTGCATTGTGCATCAAACTGTTCACCTCCACAGACCCATTTATTTCACACTACTACTACACAACTGGCACAGAGAGTTTGTTGGATGCAAAGTAGCTTTGGCTTCTTTTTTTATGAATATGCATCGTATCAGCGAATTGCCTAAAAATATATTTCTTAACACCAGATTTAGACTCAGAGCATAAGTGAGACATTTCAGTTAATATTTGGCTCTAGTGGTACATATTCCAAAAGTTGGAGAACAAGCTTGCAATAATTAATTTACTACCAACCACATGATGCATATTAAACCAAGGATTTTAGGTCGCCTGGTGGTCTGGATCATAGGGCGCATGGTTCATAATCCAGCTTTGCTTCCTCCAACAGAGAATAGGCAGGAACTTGTTGAATTCAGTGTGTTCAAGACAGCAAGACATTTTCAGATGGATACACACATCCATCAAAATGCAGTGTTTTACAAATGCGTTCTGCTACTGTCGGCTTAGAAATTGTTATTCTACAGATGTGACTGTTGAGCGTTATTTCTAAATGGCCAGTCTTAGAGAAAGCCCTTGTTCATTCTTACAGTCTGTTGTCAAAACTGTCACCAAATGGTCACGGCAATATTTATTAGAGCTATGCGTTCATCTGTATATCTGAATAAAGCTATCAAAAGCTGTTGTGACTCGTCTAGAAACAAAACTTCACATAGATAAACCTACGGTTTTTCTGTTTTGTGTCAGTGGTGTTCATGGGCAGCAAGAAGTACCCCTCAGAAAACGGCTTTGATGCTTTCCTCAAGAAGCACGGAGGCAGTGACAACGCCTCTACCGACTGCGAAAGGACCGTCTTCCAGTTTGATGTGCAGAGGAAAAACTTCAAAGAGGCTCTTGACAGGTGAGGAAGCATCAGAGGTTTTTTTTTTTTTTTTTTTTTTTTTTGGGGGGATCAGTCGCTCTTAAACCGTGGACTTGTAGAGAACCATTCGATGATTTACAGATAACCACCAAACAAAAGAGTAAGAAAATGACACAAACTTGAAAAGGCAACAGGAGATTGCTCTTCAGAGACTCTGTTACCTTTAAAGCCTTGTCCTGAGTTAGTTGTACACACAGAGAAACCTCACTGTCCTGTGATTATGTTGCTCAGTTTGACTTGCCTCAGCTCAGGACTGGGCTGCACCAGCTTTTCTTAAGGTCCAATGAGTGTATGTGTATATATAAATAGAAAGTGATCAATTATGTGATCAGATAAGAGTCTCAAAATTTGCTTCAATGTTTTATTTTTTTTCTGAAATTAGTACCAAACTACTGTACATGGTTGTTTTCAGGAAATGTTCATGAAATTATCAGGAAGTAGTGTGCCTATAGAACAAAGTGTTAGTTACAAGGCAAGACATTTCACTATTTTAGTAACGTGTAAATCGGTTTCTAGACAGGAAATCAGTTACATGACTGAAGCATCAAAAACTAGCATGACATAAAATTAGTTTCAGGGAGTCACAGTATATATTAAACATAAGTTCTAGTTTGTTAGTGTTGGTATGACCTTATTTATATCTGCATATGTGAAGACAAAAGGGGATGTTTACTAAAGGGACTGCTGTTGGGAATTTCCCCATTGTGGGATCAATAAAGTCCTACATTACCTTACCTTACCTTAAACCTGTCACAAATTATAGTCAGGTGCAGAAAGTGGAGAAGAAAGTGCAAGTTTACAGTGACTGAACTTTAATTTAAGATGCATATTCATTGACACCAAACGGGCAAACTCATGTGGTGCTGCGTTTCTTCTGCTGCTAAGCCCCCCGACACTCCTTAGTAAATATGAACACATTCAATTTCACTGTTTAGCGCCAGAAAGTGAGCCACAAAACCTTAGTAAATATCCTCCAAAGTGTGTATCAGTTAGTAGTAGTGGTGTGTACCACTCTAGATTTGTTTGTTCCAGTCCTGCTATCTGATATATGGCCCCTGATTTTGGCCCCCCTGTCCTGTCACCCACTTAGATGGGCTCAGTTCTTCATCTGTCCCCTGATGATCAGAGACGCCATCGATAGGGAGGTAGAGGCCGTTGACAGTGGTGAGTCTCGGTGCCGCTATGCATTACTTGTCCATGCTGAGAAGGGAAATTTCAGCTGCTGTACTTTTCATCAGCTGTGCTCTGTTCTACTCACGCAGCTTTGTTACTCTCCATCGACCGCTGTGTTTCTAGAGTTCTTTTTCCTCTCTCCTTCTGCCTGTCAGAGTACCAGCTGGCTAAGCCGTCGGACTCCCACAGGAAGGAGATGCTGTTTGGCAGTCTGGCTAAACCTGGACACCCTATGGGCAAGTTCTGCTGGGGTGAGTTTGTAAACACAACCGCTGGGACACTTAATACTCACAGGGCCTCCTTGGGCTTTGCTCAGCAATAACAAACAGGAGTGCTGAGTTAGATGCCAACTTTCCCTTCTTGCTGAAATTTCTGCTTTCGTAAACTCTTTTTCTACAGTGTTTTATAGTTTTGTTCAATTCCTCGTTCACTTGTGACAACATCAGGCAACGCCCAGACGCTGAAGCAGGAGCCAAAGAAGAAGAAGATCAATGTCTATAAGCGGCTGCGTGCCTTCTGGAAGAAACACTACTCTGCCCACTACATGACTCTGGCTGTGCAGTCAAAAGGTCAGGAAAGTCTGTCCCATTCATTGTATATCAAGAGCTAGTCAATTAGTAGACTGACAGAAATATTATTGACTTCAGTCATTTCATACACCAAATGAATTGATTCGATTGAAAAAGAAATCAGTAGATTAGTTAACAATTAAAACAATTATCTCTGCTATGGATTCACTTCATTCATGTTCAGTCAGCTGTAAATAATAATTCTCAGATCAACTCAAATTGCTATATTTCTCCAAACACATTTTTTCTGGGTTTCACAGAAAATATCACAGAGCTAATTATCTGCTGCGTACAAGTAAAACGATGACTAGTGTTGACATTTGTGCTGACAAAAGTTTCCTAATGAGGCAACTGAATTTTTGGCCTTGTGGATCAGTATGATTCTTTCATGTTGCAGCCTTTAGTTCTTGGTTTAAAGAATTGTCTTCATCTAAAACAGCAGCTAGTGTAAAGTGATGTGTAGGTGTCATAGTGATCACTAATTGCATTAAACCAACAAAAACTGTATGTAACTAGAGCATGGATCGGGCTGCGTATTTTTGTCCAAACCCATCCTGAACCCTTGGGTACCGACAGGTCCTGTTGGGCTCAGCTGGGGTTTCCACACTCTTAATTCTACCAGAGCCCAGAAAACCAGGTTGAGAGGATCCAACATTGTTTTTAATAAAGAATAAAACTGATAGTTGCAGGCAGTCATATTTATCTGTGAATTTACACTGAGTAATTTCTACATGGTGTGTTTTAACATCATAATAATACATGTGAATATACCTGTATTATGCAGAAAAACATTTTATGGATTGAGTCTTTAAGGACAAAACTTTGAAAAATTGCAGTCACCTCTACAGTGTAGCTTTGTAACAAGCATTCAGCATTGCATTCTTCAGAAGTCACTAGTTTTCAGACAAAATTATTGAGATGCACTTGAGCTCTAATTTATCTTCCTTCACTTGGTGTGTCCTTTAGAGAAGCTGGACACTCTGGAGGAGTGGGTGAGAGAGATCTTCAGCAAGGTGCCTAACAAGTGAGTACTGGAGAAGAGGCTCTCAGTTGATGAGATGCTGGTGTGATATAGATTAAGTCTGAATATCCTTTGACACACTACTCAAATGTAAATGCCAAGCCTTCCTCCGTCTCTTCCTCAGCTCTTTGTACCTCTCTTCATCTCAGTTTTTTTTTTTTTTTTTTGGTGCAGTACATCTGAAAGGTGTCATTCCACCGTAAAGTCAAGCTGAATTAGTGTTTTCTCCCAGAGCTCCACTTCTGTTTGTTTTATGAGTCATTGCAGCGGGTCTTTTAGACAATCAACATGCATATCACTGTTATGTGAAAACCACATGAGGCTTACATTTCAATTAAGGGATTATGTTTTCCTGTACTGGTTGATAAAATGTCTCTCATCTGTGAAGTTATAACGCATCTCAATCAACTGTAACTCCTTTAGATGGATTAAATTTGTTTTGATTTAAGCAAAAGCCCTGAAAACCTGATATGTTGCAGTTGTTCGTGGTAGAAACAAGGTGCAGTTTTTGTGAAATGGATTTTTACAAAAGCATAATGATTTTAATTGTAGTGACACATGGTGGCATGGTGACTTTGTGTAACTTTACAGTTTCATTATTGTTGGTTTTCATAATTTAGTTTTTGTTTTACAGCGGTTTGCCCAAGCCAGATTTCTCAGATATGCTGGATCCCTTTGACACACCAGCCTTCAACAAGCTTTACAGAGGTACTGCTCCATCTTACCTCGTATGTTTGAACATATATGGTGTCTTCTAAATGAGTCTCAGCAGTCTGGAGATGGTTTTAATGGTGATGATAAACCACAACATTTATCAGCTAAGTGAAATGGGATGTATCTTTTCAAGTTTTCTTTTAATCTTTGTTATTTTTTTTTATTTATTACTAGATGATTTTACCTTTTCAAAAATACTCTAGCTGCTCTAACATACCTAGTGCAATAATTTGTACTTGTATTGGAATTTGTAAGCATAACCATTGTACATATCTAAAAGCTCCTTTCACACTGTATATGTATTTATTAATAGATTGTTTTATTAAAATGCACTTTATTTTTCTGGTTGATTTATAAAAGCATAGAGAGCCACTGTACCAGAGTCAAATTCCTTCTGTGTTCAACATACCTGGTGAATAAAGATGATTCTGATCCTCTTTGTTTATGTTCCTCACAACCTGTGAACATGTGCAAACTGATAAGATGATGCAAGGTCACATAGCTTCGTTTAAATGCATCACAAGCCAAAAGGGTCGGGGATCAGTTCAGCAGAGGAAAACCAATGTGTGTGTTTGTGCGTTTGCAGTTGTTCCTGTTGGGAAAGTCCATGCTTTGAATATCACCTGGGCTCTCCCCCCTCAGGAAGAACACTACAGGTGAGCTACATATACGGTAGATGGTGAAGGGCACATAAATGCAGAATCGGATCACCTTTAACAGGCCATACTTTCCCCTGACGTGAGAGAAATTGCATCATATGTGTTTGTTTGTTGTTTTTTTTGCCATGTCCCTGTCTCATTTCTACAGCAGTGCCTCTTCATATGAACGTAAAATTAGACCAGCCAAAAGATACCATGTTTTGCCTTGATTGTAGAGGGATTGCATCAACGGTCTTTGTTTCTCCTTTTCATATTTCTCCCTCCTCTTTCAGAGTGAAGCCTCTCCACTACATCTCTTGGCTTATTGGCCATGAAGGCACAGGAAGCATCCTCTCAGTGCTCAGGAGGAAGTGAGTGTTATTGCCTCTGTCTGTTTGGTTTTCTGATTTGAGGACACTCCAACACCCAATTAAAAGGTCTTCAATTTGCTGGGTATACATGAGCTGTTTGAAGCTCTGAGTGTCTGAGCCCATTCGTCAAACTATGCACTTTGCCAGCCCACTTGACGATGTGATTCATACATTCTCATCCCTGGATGTGGTTGCACAAGAGCGTTTCAGCCTCTTGTTGCTAAGAGGCAAAGTGATGTGCCAAACCCTCTGTAGTCCCACAGTACCAAGAGCCCGTCCAATAGTTCCTTCACCGTCAGTACCACTTGGAGCGTTTAATGGAATATTCCTGTTTACTGTATGTGCCGTTTGGAGTTGCTGATAAATGATAAGAGTGAGATTTGGGTGGACTCTGTCTGAATTCCTGGTCAAACAAACTACTGAGGCAATAGAGTGGTTATTTTTATTGAGCACAGATGATGACAGCGTCCGAGGCTGAGAGGCTGGTTTTGAGTCAATATTGTCTCCTTGTTGAGACTGGGGAGTGATCTTTCTGTGTGTCCATCACACACACACACACACACACACACACACACACAGTTTGGACGTCTCAAGGTTTAAAGGACCATAGCCGTGTTTGGCAGGTTTTTTTTTTTTTTTTTGGATAAAGCTTTGTATTGTACTCCACATCACTGTGGCCCATTTTCAAAAGTACACCCTACTTTTTTGTGTATTCTACTGGCGTAGCAGTGCAGTGGAGACATTTCAGACCAATTTTTTTCTTCGAAGTGCATCGTTACACAATTACAACGCATTTATATAGATCAAATAAAACATGAGGTTCACTTTGAAGGATTATCAGACTTAAGTTTCTAGTGTCTGCAAATTGTTTTTCATTCTCAAATGAATGAAAAGCTTCCTGCAAGGACTGGGAAGTGCATAATAGAACGATACCTGCGTTTTATTTGGGGATTTTTTTTTTTATTACAGCTGTATTTATTGTTTCAGTGTGACCACAAAGTGTTTGAGTATCTAAAGCCAAGTCTTCTATCTTTCCAGTTTATGGCAGTGTCCCAGTTTTAAAATCAATGTTAATTAGTGTGTTCATGTCTCTGTGTGCAGGTGCTGGGCCCTGGCTTTGTTTGGAGGAAACAGTGAAACTGGCTTTGACCAAAACACCACCTACTCCATCTTCTCCATCACCATCACTCTCACCGATGAAGGTTTCCTAAATTTCTACCAGGTAAATATCATCATTTTTCTTTTTCTTTTTCAATCAGTCAGAATCATATGCAGTGGTTTACATAGTTGTATCCAGTTCTTAGTTGACCATGCAAATCATTTGTTGTGAGATTACAGAGACTCTAACTTGTATGTTTGTCTTCATGGTGCAGATGTTAAAATGTTGACATACTTATGTAACTGTCTGTTCACTGATCTGAATTAATACCAGACGTAAAACAGAAACTTGAAGCGGTGTAAGTTAGATATACCCTGCATGGACACAGCTGGCTTATTTTTTGTCTTGTGTTTTGTTGGTACGACAGGTAATTTCAAGGAGGCAGTGTGTGTTAGCAGTTGCTATGACAACACTTGTTAAACGGAGAGGCAGTTTAGTGATCATTCAACAGAAGCACTGTTTTCTAATCTAAAGTACTTAATGGAAAATGTTTTAATCAACAAACTTACATTGATAACTGCTGTATAAATGCTGCAACAGCCCTGAGGACGTTGATTACTGTGATCAAAAGCACTTTATCCTCCACTCTTTCATTCAGAGGATGAACCTGGAGTTGTTTAGATAAGAGAGTGCTACTGTAGTTTTATGAATCATAATGCAAAAGGCAAAACACAGTCAACAGTAGAATGCAAATTGTGCCAAATAAGTGTCGTACTTTTTTGTGTTTTGTTAGCTGGAGGTTAATTTGGTGACAGGGGAATTAGGAAAATGCTTCAGTGTACTGTGTAAGTGGTTGTGTTAAGGACAGGTAACAGCATTAGCCAATTATAATAGATGCAGTTCAGTGCTGTCATGATTGAGTCAAGCATTTGTTTTTAAATGTGCTTTTTAAATCGGTTAGGGAAACTAGCAGGCGGAAGGTACTATAGCTGGCACAAAACTCTCTGTCTTGACACCAAAATTGCAAGGTGCTGCTGTATTATGAGTGACATGCTTCCTACTGCGCTTCTCCTCCTACTAGGCACACAGACAGTCACCAAATATAAAACTAGTGCAAACAACAAAAGAACAGAGGAGCTGAACTGGATTATTTGTTGATCAGACACTATCCACTGGGGGAACAGACTTAGAAAAGAGATCCAGACCGCTAAACTTTCTGGAATCTCCCCTGGGTGCCTGAACACTAGTCTTCCCAAAATGTCAGACTATTCCTTTAAAGTGCTAAAGGTTTACAGGTTAATAGATGAATTTTAAAAAACCTATTAAAATTAGAGACGTTGAGACCGGAAATGGTCGGTTTTCAGCTTGATCAGCCTTGACCAGTGACCGGTTGATCATTCTGAGATTTCTGATTCTGTGCCGGTCAGATTTAGAGGCACAACAGTTCACATTGCGCACGCAGCGACACACACCAAAAGTGTAGCGTGTACAGCAAATAGCAACTTGCGTGCACCTTGAGCGAGGCTCTCCCTCCTGTTTGTACCGGGGGTCTTCATTGGTGCATTGTAAGTGTTTATTGTACAAATAGTGCACGGAGGAGCCTACAGAAACACCTTGGAGAAGGGGAAACCACGTCCAAATCTCAGACAAAAAGTACACAACGAGGGAATTACCTGCTACATATGAAATGCATGTATATGTACGGTGTATTAAACCTGCGGTAAAGCACAGCAAATATAAACTGCACCTCAGTAGTAACAGATATTCTTCTGTTCTATTACCTGTTGCCCCAGTTTATATTTAGAGAAGTACAAATATTGCATTTCATTTTTGTTTGGTTTGTTAAAAAAAAAAGAGTGGGAGACAAATATAAAACTTTAATACAATGTTTTATTTTTATTACAATTTAAATTTTCATTAAAGAAAAGTTGCAAAAATGTCTTTGTATGTTGTGAACTACAGAAAATTGGCACCTCATATTAAAAAACCTGATCTAATTAAAATGTGCAAAGAAAACCACAAGCTTAAAACAAAGTGTACCTTTTACTGTTGTGAGTCACAAAGTTTCAGAAAACCTACTTCTTTGAAATTGCTCAGATTTAATAGAAAACTGCTTGTTTCCTGTTACGATACATGCACCCATTGCATCCATAGCCATTATGAAAGCCCTGTGTGTCCTCCTGTATTCTCCTCTTACAAACAGATTGGTCAGGACTCAGAATCCTTTTGTTCACAGTTAATAATTATTACTCTTAAGGTGGAGTTGACATTTTCATTTACGCGTCTGAATCTTTAAAAGGGGGCAAATAAATACATACATTACTTTCTGTTTAGTATTCAGATGAAGTCACCTTTTTCCTTTTGATTGTCATAGCTTGTTCTAATGACTGTAATTCTAAAACCATAGGCAACATGATTGGCAGTGTTTTTCTCACATCAGTGCAATTGTTACAGTCTATCAAAATTAACAGCACATTTCACTTAAACCCCATCATTAATGGCAACAAAGAGGGATTTCACAGCAATTTTACCAACAAAATGAATGTGGCAATACTCATAAATTTATTAATGATGAAGCCCTTTCAAATTATGACGTGATTCCTGTGGTCTGGTCCTTTTCAGGTGACTCATCTGGTGTTCCAGTACCTGAAGATGCTTCAGACACTTGGACCACAGCAAAGGCACTGTCACTCACACACACACACAGTTTTACGAAACAACACAGCAAAGATGTACTTGTTGAGTAGAAGGCTGCATCGTTTGTTTGGCTGTTGTCATTGATGTATTTATTAGCTTTTAAAGAATGTTAATGTTGTGACATTTGAGCTTTTGTCTGGAATGAATAAAGGTAATAATTCTATCTTTGTGTTCATGCATCCAGAATATATGAAGAAATTCAAAAGATTGAAGCAAATGAGTTCCACTATCAGGAGCAGGTATGAATCCAGAATCCTTTTTGGACCAAGAGCATTATTATGACATTTGAGCTTTTTGGGTAGAAGCTGGTATAAGTGGTACTGCATGCTATGGCTGGTGAGACTGATTTCCTTTTTGTCAGGTTGACCCTATAGAGTATGTCGAGGATATCTGTGAGAACATGCAGCTGTTCCCGAAAGAAGATTTCCTGACAGGAGATCAGCTGATGTTTGAGTTCAACCCAGATGTAAGTAGTTCAGTAGTTTGGGGAGTGAACCAGTTCAGGGTTTTATTCTAAAATCCTATATTTTCTTTTTTTTAGATACAAATGATAATGAAACGGGTCTCTCCTGTGCACGCTAATGATTTTGTAGTTAAAACCTTTACATCCCAGAAATATATTTATTGGAGTTTTTGGTGTTGCCTTTGACCGGTGGATATTATTTTGCTACAGAAGTTTCAGTCTAATTGCAGCTTTGCAGATTTTCTGTGTTGACAGCAACGTCTTTTTCAGTTTTGCTGCCTCTTATTGTGATTGACAGCTGAAATTGTTCTCACATAAACAAGTAATTTAGAAACGGATGAAAGAGAAATCTTGTTTCTCTGCTCTCTTTGCTGAATTGTTGACTTTATTTGCTTGTGTGTGTGTGTAGGTGATCCGTGCAGCTCTATCCTTCCTCACTCCTGAGAAAGCCAACCTGATGCTACTGTCACCAGAACATGAGGGCCAGTGTCCCCTCAGGGAGAAGTGGTTTGGCACACAATATAGCATGGAGGGTGCGTTGTGTGCTCCTTTGTGTGTATGTGTGCGTGCATGCGGTTTACCATCAGTGTAACAGCTTCTTCCAGCAATGTAGGCATTCAGTGAATACATTGTCTTTTTCCCCCTTGTGTGGTGATATTCAGCCTGATACAGCGCAGAGAGCCAGCAACAGAAATGCCAGCATTTATCTCTGTCTCTTCGACAGTGAACAATAGTGCTGGAACAGCATTTAAATTAGAAAATATTTCATTTTCGGTGAGATAAGGTCTTAAGGTCCCTCGATTCAGAAACATTAATCTAAACTGCAAATATATCTTGTGTCCTAATAGATGTATTCCCTTCCCACAGACATCCAGCAGGAGTGGATGGAGCGCTGGATGGGAAACCTGGAGCTTTCTGAGAACAAATTCATCGGTGGGTGAATAAACGTGTTTGTGCACAAGCAAATGTGTGTCTTTGGCCAAATTTGACATGTACCGGATAAGTGTCCGCTAAGAAGTTCGTGAACAGGATTTGAGCAGTTTGTAATTTCACTGTCCATTCATTCGTCAAACAACTTATCAGATCTATTGATCAGTCTTGGAGGAACAGTGCATTCAGGACAATGTACTCCTTCATTTGTAATACTCCCTTGCTAATCATTGATCTAATGAAGGTGCTGTAATTCATGTTCAAATCTGCAAACTCATTCTCTGTTATACATCTTTAGCCCCATTTGGACATGATTTATTTCTCTGGAGGATTTTGGCTGATTATAAATGTACCACTTAGTGATTTTTATAACCCCATTCAGAGCATATACGCTTTTCACCCTGCACCTCAGTTATAATTACGGCCCCAATTACCTGCTGTTTCTCAGCAAACTCACTGGTTATTCCATAATTTAAGGCCAGTCTGGAGAGATACTTTGCATTTAAAAGTTTTTACTGTTACTGAGTCTCATTAGCTCAGCACACAGCGCAACAACTGAGGGAACAGAAAAGGATTTTACTAACCTTATAGGTAGCTTGTCAACATCAGCGTGTGCAATGAGAGAAAGTAAAACGAGTGATGAAAGTTGTTTCCTAACAGTGAATCAGTGCCTACCACAGTAGCAACTTCTGCATTAAGCCACTAGCTAAAATGCCATCCACATATTAGTTTTGTCCAAACGGGGCTTTAGACATCAGCTTGTGCAACGTTGTTATAAAGGTATATTGTGCATCAAACATCTTGGCATGATGCAGGTGCTAGACTAAAAGTTTACAATTTCCATCTAAAAAAAAAATAAAACCCCCAAATCCTTCACCATCAATCTGAGTGACACAAATCCAATTCCCTTTGCAGGCTAGTTGGAGTTAGAGCATGGATCGGGCCGCATATTTCTGTCTGAACCCAAACCGAGCCCGATGCAGTTGAGTTTGTTCAGAGTTTTTCCCCTTATCATTAAATGAAGCAGGCATTTCAGTGCTCCAACTGCCTGAAGTTTGACCTATGTGACTGAACCTGACCAGTACTGATGGGTCCTGTTGGGCTCAGTTCAGGTATCCACTCTAATTGGACTATTTTAATGAACAGTTACGTTTTGTTTGTGTTTTTTTTTTTTTTTTCTTTTACTCAAACATGGCAAACAAGGGACCTCTGGTCTGATTGTGACAAAACCTTAAGGGCTGTTACATTTTAGCATTGTTCTGTGTTCTGTTTAATACATTTTGGAAGGCCACAGCAACGCGTCTTCCCTTAGTGGGGTTCCTGTGTTATTTCTTTGGGGGCAACATCTTTCCCTGTGTCGTCAAGTCTGTGCATGTTTATTCCCAAAGCAGACATATTCAATTGTAGAATGTTACTTGTAGATTGTATGGAAACCATGATGGTTTATGTGTATTTGTTCAGCCACCGACTTCGCCCTGAAGCCCTCTGACTGCCCGGACACGGAGTTTCCTGTCCGGATGGTTGACAGCGACAGGGGCTGCCTGTGGTACAAGAAGGACAACAAATTCAGAATCCCAAAAGGTGAAATATGTGCGAGTGTTTGTGCCTATATTGTGTGTCATTTAGCATGCACAAAGTTTCTGTAAGGACATTTATTATCATTAGGGGGGTGTTGACACTGGTTTGTCCTTTCTTGCTGCAGCCTACATCAGATTCCATTTAATCTCTCCTGTAATCCAGCAGTCTGCGAAGAAGTAAGTTCAGGCGCAGATATGACCTTGAGAAAACACTGTTTGTTTTCTACTGTAACACTTATTAGCATCTGCTGTTCTTCTACTGTTCCTGTTTATCACTTCAAACGTCTTTTATTTTCTTATCTACCTTCCTTTTATCTTCCCCTCCTCTTCCCCAATCCCTACTCCTCACTTTTGCTCTATTTGTCACCTTCTCCTTCCTCTCTGTCTTGCTTCCTTTACTGCCTCATTTATTTCAATCCCTTTGTCCAATTCCACTCATCCTTCTCACCTCTTTTCCTCTACTTCTCCCTACCTCAATTTATTTTTGCTTTCCTCCTTTGTTTTCTTTTCACCTTTCTCCTTCCTGTTCTCTTTCTTCACACACCTTTGCCTTCTCTCCATCCTTACCCGTCCTCCCCTCCCTGCCAGTGTGGTCTTGTTCGACCTGCTGGTCAATATCCTAGGACACAACCTGGCAGAGCCGGCCTATGAGGCTGAAGTGGCCCAGCTCGATTATAAACTGGTCGCCGGTGAACATGGCCTGGTTATCAAGGTCAAAGGATTTAACCATAAACTGCCTGTGAGTGAATGCATAAGGAGAAAACACAAAGCTGCACATATGATTTCATGCATAAAACCACAACTGATTTATACAGAATCTTTGTAATGTAATGTTAACCATGACATAAACATAGTACATATGCTAAAATGTATGCATGAAATTAATCCTAATATTACTGTATATTGCCCCACAACATATGGACTTGATTCCTTGTTTAACTGTCGCCTACATGTATATTACTTATTTTAAATACAGTAGCTAATAAGGCAGACTTTACAAAGGGTTTAGGAGCAGTAGATAACATTTTCAGTTGTTGTAAATCATCACTTAAAACTTCATAGCTCACCATATTATGTAGACCACTGCAGTTTGCCTTTAATAAGGTGTATTGCCCATTTTGGGTGGATGACAGTTACAATCTAGTATTTGTTACAACCTGTCAAATGAATAGTTCATCTTGTATACCTGCCTGCTAGCATCTATGAAGCTCACTGATTATCAAGTTTTATCTAGTTTGTTTAACCTGTACAAACACAAGTGTAAGCTAACCTAATTCACAACTGTTTGCAGTTTCATATTTATCATACAGACATGAGTGGCATTAATCTTCTCATCTAGTCTAGGCAGGAAAGTCAATTTTGAAAAAGGTCAGACTATTCCTTTAAGAAATTATTTAATATCCTTTTATAAAGCTAGTTGGAAGTTCTATATACTTTTGCTTGAAGCTACAATATGTAATTTAATTCATGCTTTAGCATCCACATGTCCGCTAAGGTTGAGTGATGTAATGTCATCTTCCCAGGTCCGCGTGGACTCCTAGTTGACGTCCGTGTGCGGGGCAAAAGTTTGTCCACGTGGACAGTCTGCACAGCAAAAGCCCTGACTGTGCGTGTGCCACAATGCTTGGAAACCAACCCTCAATTCGAAGTATGAATAGAAATGCGTGCACGCCTCTCGTCCATGCCCTTGTGCACATGAGGATATGAAACTCCAAAATCAATCCACTTTGCTCCGCCCAGAGCTCCCTCTCCTTGCTCAACTATGCTTTACTACATTCGGCTGCGCTGCGCCACTCTCTGCCCAGCTCTTCAGAGATTTGTCACTATGAAAATACAAGAAATGAAAATGCAACAAAATTTACAGATCAAGCAGAAATAACTGAAAATCTCTGATTGGTTAGAGAGGTCAATCCTGTTCCAAAACCTTAGAAGTTAATATCTCTGCTCTGCTGCCAGTGCTGTTCAACGAGTCTGGGTCACAGGAGGCTTCGATGGCACCACTCCACATTAACACAAGTTATGGAGCATAGTTCCACAATAAAAATATATTTTTTGAAAAGTGGTGTACTGTGGCTTTATCTGGTGTCAACTTGTTGTAATGATACACAATTTCAGTGCTTGATTTCTAAATCACTTTTAAACCAGTGATCAGTATAAACATAGCTTAGCTCAAGCCACATAATGTCTTACATGCCAAATCACATGTTGTAGAGACGAGCACACCCACACACAGACGTGTTTGAATTGCTCACATCCATGATAATGATGGTGATTCCACATCTTGTCTGTCTTCCTGTCATCTCTCTGTGTAGCTACTGTTTCACCTGATCATTGACCACCTGGCGGATTTCTCTGCCTCCCCTGACGTCTTCAGCATGTTCGCAGAGCAGCTCAAAAAAACCTACTTCAACATCCTCATTAAACCAGAGAAGCTCGGCAAGTTAGTTGTTTGCCTTTTTTTTTTTCTTCATTGGCATTTCCATCTCACCAACTGGGTCATCATCAAGTCTATGATGCCTTCTAGTGGTGAAATGTGCGACAGCCCTAAGAGGAAAAGCCACCTCCTCTCACTGTCCCCTTCTCCTCTGTCTCAGAGACATTCGTTTGCTGATCTTGGAGCACTCTCGCTGGTCCATGGTGGAGAAGTATCAGGCTCTGTCGGCCGGTCTGAGCAGCGATGAGCTGATGGAGTTCAGCCGGAGCTTCAAGGCCGAGGTGTACGCTGAAGGACTAGTGCAGGGCAACCTCAGCAGCTCTGTGAGTGGACATTAGTTGGTACCCCAACAAGTAGATTGATTAACAATAAAATTAGCTGATTAGTTAATGGATTTATACTTGCATCAATTGCTTCTGAGTGCACTTGACATTGTTCTCTTGTTTTGCTGATTCCCTCTCCTCACACTCTTTTTGTCTCATCTCTACCTGTTAATTATCTTGTATTGTGTTTCTTCCACAGGAGTCAGTGCAGTTCCTGCAGTATGTCAAAGAGTAAGTCAGCTATTACACTGAATACACTCCCTAATGAGAAGACCAGTACTATACAATCACATAGATTTGTTTGCCACCATAGTAACACCGTAATTTGCATTAGTGTCAGTTGTTCAGTTCATGAGTCCCCTTTCACCTTCTTCACTTACACTTTCTCCTTTATTCCGTAGTTTCAAACTTTCTCCCTCCTATATTTCTACCTCGCGTCCTTGCCACCTTACCTGTTTTCCTCTGTCTCCTGTTTCCTTCTTCAATCCATCCTCCACTTTTTGACCTTGTTTGGCTTCCTGTGGCAGTAAGTTGCAGTTCTCCAAGCTGCCAGAAGAGGTGCCAGTGATGTTCAGAGTGGTGGAGCTTCCTCTGAGGCATCACATCTGTAAAGTGAAATCACTCAACAGGGGAGACGCCAACTCTGAAGTCACTGTTTACTATCAGGTAGACTCACTCACACACATCTGCAGCACATCAAATGTGTCTTCCCTTCGACAGAACTTTATGTACGAATTTGGCTTTTTTTATGCTCCATATTTCACTCCCATATTTCTTTGCTCGATATGTCGTCTAGTCTGGCCCTAAGGCCTTAAGGGAGCATACACTGATGGAACTGTTGGTGGTAAGTACTGGAGTCTTTTACTTCTTTTCTTTGCTGACTTTTTTTTTCCATTCATCTTGTCAGTCCATCTGGTTTTCCCCTTGTCTTTGACTGAGTTGTTGTTTTTCAGATGCACATGGAGGAACCCTGCTTTGACTTCCTCAGGACCAAAGAGACTCTGGGGTGAGTTTCTCTCTTCTCTTTTTAGACCAGAGAGGGGAGAGCATTACAATAATCTAGTCTGCTGGATATAAAAGCATGTAATAATCTCTGTGGACGCACTTTAGTGATACTTCTGAACAAGTGGGACAATGTTTGACATATGTAATCCACTTTCTCATGTAATTAGTTTGATCTGTCTATCTGCCTCTCCACATTGCTTTTCCATGCTGTTTTTTTTTTTTTATCTTCATGTCTCCTTCTGCAGGTACCATGTCTACCCCACCTGCAGAAACACCTCAGGCATTCTGGGCTTCTCTGTCACTGTGGAAACACAGGCAACCAAGTTCAAGTGAGTCTACAACACAATTGTAATCTGCTTTGCCCAGAAGCAAGGTGCAATTTATCTCAACCACTTTTACAAAACTAAGGTGTAAGCTATCTTACTGCTCACCTGAACCCAAGCTACGATTTATATATGTGGCCCAGGAAAGAGAAGCGCATGGAACTGATAAATGACCACGGGAGTCAAATATACCCTATAGCCTCCAGTATATCTCTTTTCTCCTATGAACCTTTTTTTTTCCTCTCAGTACCGAGCTGGTGGAGTTAAAGATTGAAGAGTTCTTGGCTTCGTTTGAGGAGAAGCTCAATGCTCTGACTGAAGAGGCCTTTAATACTCAGGTCTGTGTCCTTGTGAGTGTTATTTTGTGTATTTGTGAGTTTCATATGGTTATGGAGAAGCATAACATTCACAGCAAAATGATACATATCTGAAAGGTTTGTCACAAGTCAAATGTTGCTCTTCACTTAACCTTGGTGCTTCAATAGCACATTTCCTAACCACTTAGCTGTAGAAGTGGAAGAAGAGGAGTGTGACACCCTGTGCACTGTGTGTGTATGTGTTTTTTTTTTTTTTTTTTTTTTATAGGTGACTGCTTTAATGAAGCTGAAGGAGTGTGAGGACACACACCTCGGGGAGGAGGTGGACAGGAACTGGACTGAGGTGGTTACACAGCAGTACGTGTTTGATAGGCTCAACAGAGAGGTAAGGACAACGCTTGACAAACTTTTGCAATTTGCCCCAACCTTTGTCATACATATTTTATAAATGTCACAAAATGAACACACAAAACAATATGAACTGTAGTTCCAAGTGCTGTTCAGTCCTGACAGCAACTTATGCCAAATCTCAGACCTAATATTGCCAAGAATTGTAAAACTCATTAAACGGTTAAGACCTCCAAGGGAAAGAAAAAGATGAAAACAAACTGACAGCCCTGACATTTTAAAGTGTGCAGTGGCTAACATTTAGCACATCTACTAGACACAGCATCAAATATAAATCAGATAATACAATAAGTATTCACTTTCATTTTTGGTCTCCACCATTTCCTGAAGGAAATATCTGGTGATATTTGACTTGCTCTACCAGCTAGCCTCTGAATTTATGTGCCCACGTGTTTGCTGCTGGCTAGGTTGCGTACAGTTAATTAATAAGCTTGTTTGATGCTAACAGTGAGACTGAACCAAACAATAAGTAAGATGTAAAAAATCTGAAACATTGAGCCTAAGAGAAGCTTAAAAATTGTTGTAATTCTGTGCTGCTGTCACTACCACCCACCACTTTCACATCACCTGTAGTTATTTGACTCTGTTAATATAAACATATTGATAAATGCAGTGTTACACCTTCTGTTAATGTCTGGTGACATCCAGACCACCTAGTACTCTTTTTATCATCAGTGTTTCTGTGTGTTTAGATTGCGGCTCTAAAGCAGATGAGCAGGGCTGAACTGGTCTCCTGGTTTCAAGAACACAGAGGACAAAACAGCCGCAAACTCAGCATGCATGTAAGCAATGTCTTTGTCTTTGACGGACAAAAGATGTCATTTACTCTTTGCTTTACCTTTGTGCATGTAGCAACACACTCACAATTATTGTTTATAGCTTTTTATGTGTTGTTTTTATATTTGAATGATATGTTAAGTGCTTTGGTCAGCTGTGCTGTGGTAAAGCGCTATATAAATAAAGTTGAGTTGAGAGAGTTGAGGAGAGACAACATTTTTTTTTTTTTTGTCTCCTCAAGGTGGTGGGATTTGGTGCTGAAGAGAGTGATGAGGAAGGGGAAGAGGGCAAAGAGGAGAATTTATGTGGCTCAACCTATGGTGAAGTGTCTAAGCTAACCTTCCTTCCTGCCTCTCCTAAGATGGCAGGCGCCATAGCCATCATGGACATCCCTGCTTTCACTGAAGGCCGGCCTCTCTTCCCCTACCACAAGATACTCGAATAATGTCGTGCTCAGACTGTGAGACACGTGGATGGTTGAGCTTTGCTTTTTACTGAGCCATGTTTGAAAATATGGCCCCGTTAGAGAAGAGGGCTATGGCTGTGTGGAGGTGAAGGAAGGTTGCAGCAGCTTCAGCTCCTTTCTGGACCTAGATTCTACCTCTGGGGTCCAGCTGTAGAATTTACTTTAAACTGTGTGCATAAGCAAGAAACATGGAAGTGGTGATAGTTTTATTTTAGCTAAGTGATAATCTGCTTCCTCACTCCGTTATTTTATATCATGACACACCGAGTGTGAGAGCACTAAATCTCTTTCTCTAGCTCACACTGACTTAAGAATTTGATTCAAGGATATTATTTATTTGGTTCCCTGAGTTCTGCTGCTGTTACAGTACTATCTTTTCCACTGTTTTGTTTTAGAGCCCTGTGTTTAATGCAGTCAGAAACACAAATCAACCGGGAAAACTGCCAAAATGCTGAGTCCTTTGAATTCCAGATGTGTGTGTGTTCTTTTTTTTCTTCCCGAGTGTGTGGTGGATTTCATGGTCTGCTGTGTACTGCTGCTGTTACCTCACCTTGATCATACAGTGTTATGAAACTGAGCAAAGAAATAAATCAGTGAGTGAAGGGATGAAGCGATGCACTACCTGCAGTAAACTACTGTATCAAGTCATCATAGTAAAAGTACACTCAGACAAAATAAGCTGAAAATCTGTTTGTTTGTGTATTTTCTCTGCCAACTCATATTAAAAGTAGTGGGAATTTACATTTACAGTACATTATTGTGACACTTAGTATATTTTTCTTTTCTGTAAGTGCTTTCTCAACTGACACACCTGCAATTTTCTTGACATTCAAATCGCATTAAACAACACAAACACCACAAGGAGCGAGTACTGCTAGCATTCAGCATCTGACAAAAGTCAGAATGGTTTGCTTGTTGGTGGCTCAGCGTGGTGTGGTGTCAGCTGTTTAATTTACGCAGATTGAATGTATGTGTAAAATGTACATTACTCACAGACTCTCTGCTTTCACCCAGAGGAGAAGGTTGTTGTAGACAATATTGCATTGCGCTTGTGGCTGGTGAAACATTGCTCCATTGAATGTAATTAAAAACTAATCCGGAGCCCGGCACAGCAGGGCATGTTAACAGAATTGACTAATATGCCCACAGGGAAGTCTCGCACTGTAGCAAAGTCTTCACCTGCGACAGCCTAATATATAATCATAACTGTGTTACCTCTAAGGTGGGTGGCCAAACGGCTTTAAAAGCACAGGCTTTGTGTACAGCAGGCAAAGACTATATAGGGCCAAAAGTATCTGGACATGCAAATGTTTCACCCTTAATATGTGACAGTTGAACTTCTCACTCCAAAACCAAAGGCTGGTGTGTTCCTCTCCACTTTTCTCATTGCACTGGCCAAGATGGAAACGGCTAATCCATTTTTAATGAAAAAGAATGACTGAAACAAATAACTGACTAGAGCCTGACATAGTGGTGAACAGGAGCCTGTTTGTGGTCAGACAATGTGGACACTGACTCCTCCCAACAGCCCACAGCTTTAGATTATGAACCAGAAACTCAGCAGAAAGGACATCTGAATCACGCTGAGCTTGAAAATTCATTCCTTGATCTAGACTGTGTAGATTCATGACTGGATTAAATAAAACCCATAAAATCACACTTGATATTAAGGTTATGTCCTGGTGTCTGGGCTCTTTGGGGCGGTATTCACTCAGTGGTATGGGCTGTTTACTTTGTGTTTAATAGCAGAGACATCCTGTCACTTAATATGAAACAATCTAAAAGCACTAAACTTTGTTTAGACAGTCCTGTCCTTCAGTGCCTCCTACAGGTGTATGACATAAGACACCACAACAAGCAGTGCTGGTCGTGGCGTGGCTGCATGGCAGGACGCTCATAAGGTGAGGACTGACAAGACGAGGCTTTTTGTCTCTGTCCAACATGGTCGTCATGGCAACTTGGTTTATCTGTCTTTGCTTGTCATATCCAGATTGAGGAGCTTCGGTCACTAACCATCTGACAACCTCCATGATGTGGGACCGGTTTGCTGCCATAGCTCCTCCAGATACACTCAAAGTATTGAAGGGACTTAGCTTTCTTTTTCTCGACTTAGCTTTCTTTCTCTCGACTTAGCTTTCTTTTTCTCGGCTTGGCTTTCTTTTTCTCTTTCTCACTGCCTGTCTGTCCAACATGGCCATCTATTCTGTGTTAGTCTTGTGTCCTACAGAGGGCAGAGTTTAGTCATTAACTCTAAAGCCAGGGCTTCTCCACACTACAGAGAACAAGGCCAAGTCGATTCGCATCATAAGAGGCTTTTCTCCTTTCCCTTCTTCTCAGTGTGTGAAGGAGTCCGCGCTTTCAAGTTATTGGTAGTTTGGACAGTCCCTCTCTAAACCTATATATTTGCTGGAAAAGTGACTGGGGTAGTCAGGAGATGTGCAGGTACCTAGTTTCAGGACCATGCTTGTGGTGACTAGATCTTTGTTTCCCCCCTCCTCCTCTTTCTAAATTAACTGCACTGTTCCACAGCACCCTAGTTGACTATCTGAAAGCACCAGTCAGGGAGAATGAAGCCACTGTAAGGGTTGACAGGCTATAATCTGATATGTTGTTTCCTGTCACACCAGAAAAGCTGGGACCCAGAAGTTGCAGTGTTCAGCTGTGAAGAAGACAAAGACCCTCATCAACGATGATGCCTCTGCACGAGTTGTTGATCTCTTCAGAGACGTCAGGTATCTACTTCTGTCCACTTGATAAAATCTTTGTCTTTGTACTTACGATTGAGTGACTTACTTTTTTTTTTTGACTGATGCCCAACCTTAGGAAACTGAAGCTGGACAAAACACCCCTGTAACTTATCACTGATGTGGGGATACGTTTAGCAGTTTCATAGGTAGATGGTCTTGTTAGAGCTCTGTTATGCAGTAGCTGCGATACCGTGTGTTTTAGGTTCTTGGGAGGGAGGAGCCTGGCAGAGACAGACAACTCAGACTCTAAATAAGCTCAGACACTCAAAGTGAGTTGCCTTGTTTTTCATGAGGTGATGATTATGAAAACTCTCCACTCACCCCAACCAGTCAAGGCAGAAGGCCACCCGCCTTGAGTCGGGGTCGAATGTTTCTTTCTTTAAAAGGAGTTTTTCCTTTCCACTGTTGCCAAGTGCTTGCTCAAGGGGGATTTGTTGGGGTTTTCTCTATACTGATACTGAGATGGCTTGTTGTGATTTGGTGCTATACAAATTAATTGAACTGTACGGTCAAGTGTACAGGTTGAGACCATGTAGAATTATTTTTTCAGGTGTCGCCTGTGCAGAGGCATAGAAATGTAAACTACTGTCAAAGAAGCATCAGGTATTTCTTAAGCACACTTTGTGTAAAATCTTAATTCATAAAAATTGAAATACAGTAAATGTATAGTGAAAACTATATGAAGCGGAAGCATGTTTCTGCAGACTGTTTACTGATGGACAGGGTTGACGCTGAGGTCAGTGGTTCAGATTCTGGAGTCAAAAGTTGTTCACGATTCTTCTCTGAAGTACAGCACACGTTGTTTCACTTCATAAGCTCTTTTTGTTGATAGAAACTGACCAAACTCCCTTCAAAAGCAGGTTAATTTTGCTTTTATAAGAACAAACATAATATACTGTGTAACTCAAGCTGTTCTAACTTAAATGTAACATCTTCTGGTTAAGTCTTAGCAGTAATACATTAAGTTGGGTTTACTGCAACAAACATGTATAAGTTTAGGCTGCTGCTCGCTGTCATTCCGCTTCTTTGGCCACGTGTAACATTGTATACAGGTCAAAGTCCCTGAACTCCTTTAAAAATCGACTAGTGTATGTCTTTTTTAGAAACAAACATGCATCATGAAACTAATAATTTCTTGAATGTTAACTTTTCCTGGTAATTTTGCCTTAAGTATAAAGACCTTGTTATTAAATATAATCTTTAACATTACGTTCCTGTTGCTTTGTCATCGGTTTAAGATTGATTTTCAGCCACATGCTACTGTATGTAATTTTATGCTAAGCTTGTATTTCCATGTAGCCATCATAGACTGATATGTTAATCTTACCTTAATGTTTTTAAAAAACCATGGAGCTACCAGTGTGCAGAGCTTCTGATTGTACCCCCCAAGAGTCATCAGTCTTAATAACATGACTCTTGGAGCTTTAAAGTGACCATACAATTCAGAGTTTTTTTCAGTCTCCAGGCATTACAGCTGATGTTATTACAAGTTACAGTTCTTAAACTAAAATCGATGCAAAAAGCTAAAGGCAACAGTTAAAAAGGAAGCACAATGTCATCTTTGTTCACACATTAAATACAGAGTCGAAAGAAGAGTAAAAAGACAGCTGATACTGTAAATTGGAGATGCGGTCTCCAGTTTTTGGTGAATGCTTCTATATAATCTAAGTCTTTTGTGTGATTAAAATCAATAGTGGTCACAGTAAAGTAGACTACTTTGTTAATTTTACTTTTGAGGCTTTGTTTTTGTCAATGCATCTCGGGTACCATTTGTCAGATGCTATTTGAGAGTTTTCTAATAACATGAGCAGCTGGACAAAGCAGAGGTTTGGCTATGTGAGATTAGAAAAAAAAACTTGTGTGCACTATAGATACATAGAGCTAGATAGTGGACTGAAACATGGCACCCATTCTGTGCATTTAAAGTTGCTCACCTAGACAATCAAAATAATACCCTGTTGATAAGAACTACTGCTACTACTACTTACACCTGTCTGTAAATGTGTGAGAAGCTGCAAAATAAGAAAAACTTTCAGTTGGGAATCTATCGGCAACAGAGTGGATGTCATATGCAGTTGCTGAGTGGAGGGAAGTAAACAACTAAGATGGCATGTAAAGGATCCCTGTAGCTTTGTATGGATGTAAGCACCCCGCCAACAGTTCAGCAGCTGGGCTGCAGAAACGTCCCTTCACAGTATGTGAGCAGGGTCGGACCATTTGTTGTTAATAAACATGTCCTTATACACATCGGTCACTTTATTAGGTACACCTATACAATTGTATGCACTTCAATGCAACACTTAACATCTATGTTTATGAAGCTCAAAATGTTTTGGTTTTTGGTCCATCCATCCATCCATTTTCTTCCGCTTATCCGGGACCGGGTCGCGGGGGCAGCAGTCTAAGCAAAGATGCCCAGACCTCCCTCTCTCCAGACACTTCCTCCAGCTCCTCCGGGGGAA